TTGGATGTGTGGGTGGATGGATGGGTGGATGGATAAGTGGGTGGATGGATGGGTGGATGGATGAATGAATGGAATGAATGGAATGAATAAATGAATAAATGAAAAATGGATGGATGGATGGGTGGTTGGTGGGTGGGTGGATGGATGGATGGATGGATGGATGAATAAATAACCTTTTACTAATAACACTTACCACATCCTCATCATCGATGTCTTGTGTAGAAAGTGCCCATATCTTGGCTACACTGTCATCAGCCTTGGGCTGAGCTATATGCAAGAAAGAACATCTTGAATATTATACATGTACATAGAAGAACAATTTTGATTTTAATCTCTTAAATATTAATTGTGGTTTATTTTGTTAAAGATCAGGTCACCTGGTTTTGAAGCAAAAGACAGTGTCAGCTGAGAACTTGCTCCAACCTCAAAGTTTGGTTTTTGACAAGTGACCTGTTATCAAAGCAAAGCAACAGTCATTGACAGTCACAATTTAATTTTACCTGAATAAATGGCTATTTTAAATTCAAACATTTCAAGAAATCAGGGGAAAACAACCAAATTGATGGGTTGCAAGTATTCCCAAGAGAGTTAAAAGACAAAAGCATGGCTGCCATCGTGGTGCAGTAACAATGAATGCTAATAAGAAGTCTTTTTTGTTCAATGACACCAATGCTACAACGAGAGGCTGCCATGACATAGCATGCAATCGAAGAATACCAAGCAAATTTTCTGCGCCTTCAGTTATCAGTAGTGCTAAATTGATTTAAATTTATTTATATATAATGCTAAAGATATTTGGAATTTATACATTTATTAATTGAATTTTACAAAGGTATTTACCTTGACTACAGATGATGTGTCTTTGACTCTTTGGGCCTAAATTTGTCAAAAAAAAATGCTCTCAATTGGTAAAAAAATATTTTGTGAAAACATAATTATGTAGGATGGTAGAGAGCCCAAAAACAGCTGGTATAGAGGCTTTGTACCATCACATGATGGCAGCCATGACAGGAGGCAGGAACAATTGAATCTGGTCTAATCTGATTTACATGAGAAAGAATTCAGTTTACTAGAGGGAAAAGACTTTATTGTTGTGCCTTCTGTCACGGCTGCCATCACGTGATGGTGCAAAGCCTGTATAAGACTTTGTTGCTACCTTAGCAGTATCGTAATAATCCAGTAATCCTAATTTTTTGAGGGGGTGAGGAGGGGGGGGGAAGGGTCATCCAAACTACTATCCTTTTCTTTGCTTACAATTACTAAAAACCATTGTTTACAAAAAAATAAAATTTATTTCAAACCAAAATTAAATTTTAGAACCATAATGCAATCAATGATTTTGAACCTTGGGTATGACAGGAAGGTCTGGAGCCCCGACTGTCACACTCAGAATATTGCACTGGATTCTTAAATATTATTTCATTAAAACTTCATACATACCTCTGAAACATCCACAAAACCTGACAGTTTTAACGAGGACATTATTTTCTCTGGAAGCCTTAGACCATTCGAGGATCCTACAGGAGAAAACAAATAACTTGACACAAAAATTTTGGAGAATGGAGCTTTTAAGACTTGACAAGACTTAAACTAATGGCCATTCAA